TGTGGATAGCATGGCCATTTATGCTACTAAACAAGAAACTTAGGCTGCATTCAGGTAATGAAGTTCACTATAAAAAGTAGTATCAGAAAGATCTGAGTACAGATCCTCATTGTGCTGACTGTAGGTGCCAGCTCAGGCAAGCAAAGCTAAGACTCCATTTCCTCATCTGTGAAATGCCACCAGTTCTTTACAAAGTTATTGTGAGGATTATATGAGATCATGTGTGTGAAAGAGCCAAGCACACATATAGACATGGAGTTTTATTTTACTTTTAAAAATGACTCGGGGTGACCGGTTAGCTCAGTTGGTTAGAGCATGGTGCTGATGACACCAAGGTTGCCCGTTCAATCCTTGCATGGGCCACTGTGAGCTACGCCCTCCCTAAAAAAAGTCAACTATGCCATTGTAGCATGAAAGCAATGTGTAACCAACGGCCATGGCTGTTCTCCAATAAAAAAATATTTTTTTAAATTTAAAAAAATGACTCAAAATTGTTCATAAATTCATAAGGAACTAGTGTCAAAAAGCGGGATTTTGAATTGGGGGGAGAACTTGTGGAAGGGCTTGGTAATTGGCTGCATTTGGTCTGATGTGCCCTGTTCTTTCTCTTCCTCAGAGGCTGTATGTATTGAAAAATACAGACTCTAGGCAGCAAGAGCTCTGCCCTTGACATGAATTTTTATGTAATCAGCGAGTTAAGAGAAATGAAAGGTTAGAATTTTCCTGGGAAAACCATGCATGAAGAGGTTACACATCCTCTCTCTATAGCTTTCCAAAGTCCATTTTACATTGGTATTTGGGAGTCTTTTACTGTCATTCCACATTGCACACGGCTGGACTCTCCCTCCCAACAATGCTCCTTCCTACCTCTCCCCAGCTTTCTCATTTATCCATTCAAGCTCAGCACTGTCCTGTATATTTCAAATACATTATTACACTTCACCAAATTCTCAACCAACCATCTCAAGTGGGTATCAGTCCCCTCAAACTGCAGTGTGGAAATCAAGGTTCAGAGAGATTGGATTACTTCAAAGGTCACAAAGCTAGTAAAATGTGGAAAAAAAAAATAGGCTTCAAATGCAAGCTCCAATCCCATGTTCAATCCCTTTCCTCATTCTACTTTATTATTTTGATAACGAGATAATACTGAAATTAATTTGACTCTTGCTGAGATCACAACTGATATTTTAAAAGGTAGCAATATAGATTTTACCCAACTTACATTATTGGGATATTCTACTAATACAATATTGAGTGATTATAAGACATGTCATGAGAAAACTGTGGCTCAGGGAGAAATAAGGGGAAAGAAATGACTCCTACAATTCTGATGTCTTCTAGAATGCATGGCTCAATAATCAAGCAGAAACAAACCTGGGCAAGAATGCTACGCCAATGTAAATATAAATACGTGTATATATATATAAAAGCAAATGATCGGGGTTCAGTTTTGCCAATTTTATTGAACCAATAAAATTCCTACTAATAACAATGAAATAAATTTCTGCAAGTATAAATGTGATACAGTTTTAACAAAACCCATTGTTCTGTACCTATAAATAGATTTTCAAAATGTCGTAAAAAGTGCAGTTATGAATTGTTAACATGTTAATACACAGTTCCTTTATTTCAAATGTGTTTGTCTTGACTCACTAACAGTTCCTTCTGCATCTGTTCAAATAATATTACCCATCGCCAAAAAAAAAAAAAAAAAGGCATTAGAACACTAGAATATTACACATAAACTGATCCATTCAGGTCAGCTTTAGTCAGAATTGTAAAATCAGCAACATAAGAAAAATAAAACCTAGTTATACATATAAAAAGCTTTCATGGGTTCTACAATCTCCTTAACTGTTGACTCATGTAGAGAGCATACTAGTTGAAAAGGCTTATATGGTTAACTACCTTAGACTATATCTACAGCAGGGTCTGGTTTGCCAGAATAAGTTTAAAGTGGCTGTTTATCAAGTTTGCTATTTTCAGAATTGAAACTATAAATATAAGACCGCCGTTTGACAATGAAAATTGTGTAAATCCTAAATTGCATCAATGATCTATTTGATAAAAGCTTATTCTAATTGAAAACCTTATATAGTAAGAGACTGATATATAAATATATATAGCAGTCTTAAAGATCACGTCATCCGTCTCACATTAGTCCAAAGTCACGTGCTTCGTAAAAAAAAAAAAGTTACAGTAACAAAGCACAGGACTACAAAGGCAAAACATCACAGCTTCTGATTACATTGAATAAAAAGTACCAAGGAACGCAAAAGATAATTCTGTATTAATACTGATGAATTAAAGAACTATAATAGACATTTCACAGCATGCTACATACATCGCTCACAACTTAAGGATAAAATGAAGTCTAAAATTGAAAGTCAAGAAGTTGGCAATCTGATTTAATGTGCAATTCAGCTACAAAGTCTTAATATATACATTCATTATGTAGCTGCCCTGCAAAATCAGGATTTAAAAAAAAAAAAGAGATTTCAAGTTCAAATCCTATTTCATAAGCTAAAGGATACATCCAGTTCTTCTACGACCAGGAAAGTTATTTTCAGGTTTGAAGGAGCTAATCCAAGTAGCAAGGCCATGTTCCAAGTCAACCTGGCAGGGTTCGTTTTTTCCCTTGCTCAGACGGTGCATGTGAATATGACTATTCTACTAGCACGGAGAAGATGCCAAACTGGCTTGGGGTTTGCTTTCTGTGTCTATCTGATCTCAGGTTGAAAAGAGTAAATGTGAGGAGAAAGAGGAAGGGCAAAATTGTATTTTCTTTCCAGGGAAGATATATGAATGCAAAGGAAATATCTGCACTAGATACAGAGTTTGGGTCACTTTCCTTGATGAACAAGGGTACCATTTAGCTCTTTCCTTTTATTTTAGAGAACCAGTGAACTTCAGAAAGGAGAAAATAGTCTCAACATTACAAAGGAAGCTCCTTGGCTACCCTGATGTTTCCTGTATTCTATCTTTTGATCTTTCCTTATCAGATTTGGGAGTCAGTTGAAAATTCATAAGACTGATTAAGAAAGAGATGTATAATCCATTTCGTTTGGTGTTGGAATGCATGTACTTAGCTACGTAGGATTCAGGAAGATTATTTTAGCATTAAAGACCAGACAGCCTCTCTCCCTTTGATATTCTGTCAGAATTATACATTCATTTGTAAGAGGTTAAATTGAGGGGTGCAAGAAAATAAGCTGTTTTAGCAAACTTACATACCAAAAATTGTATTTATCATATTTAGAGAGTTTACTGTTGTCCTATGAGCTGTAAAACGGAGTGTTTGTTCTCAAGGCTATTTGATAGGATGTATTTCATTATTTGAAAGATTTCCACAAGCATCGAAAAGAATCAGCTATTCATTCTTCTCCCACCCCATATTTCTCCTTGTTCAATTCTGTACTTCATGGTGGTGCAGCCATGATGAATTTAAAGCTAGAATAAATACTTCATGACATATGATTTCATAAAAATGATTGCTTCAGTCTCCATTATTAAGTCTCATTTCGTAACTAGGCATTGATTCATTCCTGGGCCCTTAAAGGCATTTACTAGGCTCTGCTGTGGGGCTGAGCTGTTCCTGAATGGGAGTGGAGAGCATCCAGATACCATCATAGATCATAATAATCTCTACTTCCAATCAGGGTGCCTCCTCTTCAGGTCAGACCACCTATAGATAAACACGCCCCACGTTAAAAACCTGACAAGAGTTTCTATCTATGAATTACAGGGACTCACACTGGCTGTAGAGGAAGAATGTTGTTGCTTCTTCCTCTGCACATTTCCTGTTCCTCAGTCATACTGTCTGATCTACCTGAAGTGCAGCCAGGGGAATAAAGACTACAAAGTCAATGCATTCCCTTTTAATCCCACATTACATTTCCCCCCATGAGAATAGGGTAGACTTGGTGGTGAGAAGCTTAGTCTAACCCAGGAAAGCCTGATGAAGCCCTTATATAGCCAATTTTGTGGTATTTTAAATATGCTATAATCAAATGGGCTTCTGTGATCCAACAGGACCACCTAAACACACGCTGTCCTATATCCTCCTATTAGAAATGTGTTTTGAGGCCCAAATACCACCAATAAAACAAATGTCTGAAACACCTCTCATTTGTATGCCAGAAGTTTCCTGTTCCACTGAAGGATTACAGATCAATCTGGACTGCTGGAGAATTTTAACTTTACATTCAAATAACTTGGACTAATACCAGTATTTATTACCTAATACAGATCCAGGTTAGAATGGCAATTCAATCACTGTAAAATCCTGCTAAATGCTAAATTCTGCAATGGTAGAAATAGTTCAATTTCTGTATCATGTATAAATATAAATATTCCTACTTTTATAGAAGGCAAAAATCTTCTATGATTTATTTAAAACATGGAAGTAGTATTACTGAACAACAGAGAGTGAATCCATGAAAAGGTTGGATACTCTAAATTTATAGGCTCTTTGGGGATGAGGTAGAGGAGAGCAAGATATTTTGGCAGCTGGGAAAGGGTCAAACAGTCTAGGATGGACAGGATCACACTGGTGCTGCGTAATATCTGGTAGGGTGTCTTGGGCAAAGGTTGGCCAAAACATAGCTGGATGGTAGAGGGATTTAGAGAGAGTTGGGACAAAGTCATCTTCTTAATGAATGGAGAAAAAAAATGACTCAGAAAAGTAAATGCTGGTGACTATCAGCAGGTGGCTGGTGATGTTTGATCTGGATTGTGAGAAGGCATTCAGAGCAAGATGGGCTGAGAGATGGGAGGAGAGCGAGCACGGAGAGGTTGAGGCACTTGGAGGAAGAGAAAGCAAGTGGGGCGGGTGGACTGAATGCAGACAGGAGATCCCACATGGAAAACGTTCCCTCATGTTGGGTGTACAATGCTGAGGACAGCCACACTCTTGGAATTATGTTCCATGTGGTCTTTGAAAACCTTTTCCTTCCTCACCGGGCTCTGCCTTAACATAGACCTCTACCTCTCTGATCCATGTCACCCCAGCTATTTTTGTTCTAGGTCTCACCTGAGCAGACACTGCTAACTAAGCCAAATTAACATGGAAACAAGCTCTGCATACAGGGGGCATTTAAGTTCTGTTGACTGAGATGAATACATTCATGTTACAGTACAGCTTTGAGGAAAGACTACTTTGATTCTCAGTCTCCAGAGGAATATTATAGGGAAACACAGTTTATGATGACGGCCACCTAGAACAGATTCTGATTATACACATTAGGTAACTTAAAACTCGATCTGAACAGAAGAGCCCCGTCTTTCAGTTTGCTGTTGAATTATACTACTAAGAAAATTTCATGTACTATTTATATAACATTATTGTTGCATAATTTTACTCCATGCAAGACCAACTATTTGCATAAAAGAAAAGGTCCTATTAGATAAGAGTTTAAGGTCTTACTTTCCAGAGAAATGATTTAAAATTGTCTTTAAAATACAACATGAAACAAAACAAAAACTTCATTTGAGTAGCACAGTGCAAATCATTTTTATAACATGCACTGAAATTTATTTTTTTTTCCCTGATGAATTGTCTTTAGAGTTTAAAAGAATCTTACCATCATACATGCATGCACTCTGCACTAAAGTAGTGAACTATTTTTAAGTACAGATCTTTAATTGTTTGCTGGTAATTCTATTTTGCTGCAGCATAAAAATCTAAAAAACTCTGTAAGGTGGAAAAGGAAAAAGATGCTCTGGAATAATGTTAATTGTTTTTTAAGAAGCATTTAAAATCTTTAGGCGACGTTATAACACAATTAAAATAGGGGTTCTGGTTCAAATATGATTTTGATATAAAGCTCACATGGAGTTCTCTGTTCTAAAACAGTCCTGTGATGCTCGGCCATTATTTGGGTTTAAAGCCATAATTAGAGGCCAAGGTCATGCCCCAGATTTCACATTAGCCATCTTTTATTTCAAAAAGTACCCCAAATGGGACAAAGATTCTTCCTGAGACTGAGACAACATACTTAGCTCAAAGAGGTGAAGAAGGTCGTCAGTAGTCCCGTCTCAAAAAGCCTGTTTTCCTCTAATTACCAAGAATCCATCTGAGGAGGCCTAATCTGAAGGGTCCAATGAGGCAGCTGCCTGGCACTCCCATAGTCAAGGCATCAGATTAAAGAACAGATTTACTTTCAGATGGGAGAGTATTTTGATAGTTCTTAAGGTGATCTGAGAAATTGGGAATCACAACTGAAGCTGGAAAACTTGAAATTCAAAAGTAAATAGACATCAATCAAGCATACACATCAGTGGATGACTAGACTAATTTCAACGTAAGAAGCAACGAAGTTAGAGAATTCACATTCACATGTGCTTTTTTTCCACGTACACTTGCACATCTAAGTTTGGCACAATGTGAGCCCAAGGTGTAGGATAGTATATCGTATAATCACATCATTTCACCAATTGAACCAGATAGCTCTTTTAAAAATATCACATTTTAATATAAAAAGCTATACTATAAATTACTACATAGTAAATTCAATACTCTGAAAAAATACCACCCTGGAAAACCGCATCAGAATTTCAAGTTTGCATTAGATAAAGGTCACAGCAAACTCATTGTAAAATGGAATTCACAACCCGGAATGCTGTGCATGCCGCATCTGAGTAGGTGCATTAGCACCTCCACGAGTCAATTTTTCTAGACTGGTTCACTGAGGTTCATCAGTATATTGTTTTGTTTTTGTCTATAGTTCCAAGTCAACTTATTTTCCTGATTATTGATGAGATAGATCAATGCTGAGTTAAAAAGAAACTTTGCTAGGAAAGAGATCTAGTAAAGGCACTAATATTTCCATAACCCAAACTCCAACTACATACATTACTGGGGGGAAAAAACCCAAAAAGTAAGTGGCCATTTCAGTTATTTAAATTTTGTTTCCCCTTTTGGTCTAAAGCTCATATGGTGTTCTGTGAGAATTTCTCCTCCTTTTCAATATATAAAAATTATTTTCATCCTGTAATACAGGTCACTTGCACAAAAATATAGGGCTATTAACTGAAAGAATTCTAGTAAAAAAAAAAAAAAAAAGTCAAGCTTAAAAGATATCCTCAACTTGAAAGCTCTAAAGTTAGGGAAGTTAAATGGATATTTGTGTTGTCATCTGGGTTTTGCCATTCTCCTAAATACTTTCTTTGTAGTTAATATATATCTATATAATGTGATACTGAATAAAATCAACATATATCAATAAACAAAACAGAAGAGACCTGGCACTAGTTCTTTGAATAATCTCTTTAAATAAACCACCCTGTCTTAAAAATATTAGTCATTTTTTCCTCACATGGAAGTGTCCAAACAAGATCCTGGAATCCAGGAACGCAGAACTGCCTTCTGTTAATAGGTGTACAGTCATCTTTCTATTTTCTTATCTGGAACACAATCTAAAAGAAAGCAACCTAATGTACTGTACCAGAAAAGGATGATAAATGGAAGGGGGAAATGATTTAACAAAAAACGAGTCTACAATTTTTTCACGAGAGAAAAAAAGTTTAAGTCCTATATAACAAAAGTCAGTCAGTCTAAACTGAAATCTTTGTGGGAACTTTAATGAAAAATTTTAACTATATTATTTACTATGACAAGATGGATCTGTTTTAAAAAGATTAGCATGTTGGTGTACATTTCAAGTCACCGTGAATTAACCAAAAAGTGTTTAGCTGTGCAGTCGTGTCCTACTGGATAGTTGTAAGCATCTCTTTAGGCACTTCACTGGTTCATTAACAAAATACAAATTAAAGCTGTAAACACATAATGTTGTGCTCTGAGAAGATAGTCTAATTAAGCAACATAAACCAATGCAAAAATGTGACTTTTTGGATGCTTATATTCCTCCCCTAAGACTTGATATCTTTTTTTAACCAGTCGTCCAAAGAGATCTTTCTGGGGAAGGGGATGCTTTGGCATTATGAAAGGAAAACTGTTCAACCCCAGGAAGGCAAAAAGCCTTGTGCAATAAAGAAATCTGAACCAAATTTCTTTATGGCTCTGTTTTAAAGGACACTTCTGCAGTGACATAATGGAAAGTTTAGTTGAGTATTTTTTTTAACATATTGCACTCTTTCTTTTGTTGCTGTCCAATCACGTTAATGCATAGAAACACAATTTTTACCTTTGAATAATAAATTGTTTAACCTATTATAAGAAAAATCATGGAAAATAAGTTCTAAAAGCCTAGCAGGAAAAAAAAATAGGTATTTTAACCTTCCTCTGTTTACCGCCATATAGAAAACACTATGAGAAAAGAAAAATGTGCAAAGAAACTTTTTGGTCAGTCTTGTGTGGGTGCAGGTTTATGTGCCGACGAAATGAGCTGTGAGCAGCACTGTGAGCACTGAGTATTTAAGATGACTGAGGATGGCTGTCAGTGATAGAAAGGATTGTGCATAATTCCACTTTTAATATGTACACCTGATATGGAAAACTGAAACTTCTGTTTCAGAAGAGAAAGAAAAGAGCTGAATTTGGCATTTCAGTAGCATGCTATAGAATTCATCATGATTAACTTCACATTAAATTATGGACAATGGCTGTATCACATTTCACGTTATCGCCAATAGCAGTAAGAAAAACAAAAACAAACAAACAAACAAACAAATCCAAACAGTGCCTGACAAGTAATCTCCTAGGGACACAGGTATGTGTCCTGTGAGCAGCTTAGTTCAACAGCGCATGCTTTTCCTCTACCAGATTTAGGACGCAACATGGAAAGTGGAGAATGGCCAGAGGAGGTCATTCTTTGCTGAATTCCAAGATCGGAAAAGAACTGCTTGAGTAGATTGTAAGCGCTTTTCCTTATTGAACAAAAAAAAAGGGGGGGGGGGCGGGGGAGGAGAAAAAAAAATACACACAAACCCAAAAGCGCTGAAGTTAAGCATTAACAAACCAGGTTCATGATGTATGATCAGTTTCTAAAACCCAACTAGAAACAATGTAAAGTAGTGCTCCTCAGTATTATTCTTGCAGTTGTTAGTAATGTTAAGCATCAAGAAAAAGAAAACACATCATTGCACATGACAGCCGCCCAAAAGAACGGCTAAACTTTGACACTAGAGAATTGAATAATTTTTGATGCTACATCACAAACAGCTTCAGATGTATATCTTATGTGAAAAGGTCTTTACACATATTTGACATTTTCCCTGGGAGATGGATGCTTCAGGTCAAATATCGAGTTATGGCACGAAGAGCATACAGAAGTTCAGCTTGCATCCGTGCTTCCATTAGAAGTAAATTTACGTGAACCTAGAAATGAAAATGGTATCAATTTAATGACCATCATAAACAACTGAAAAAACCTGAAGTTTTTTTTCCAGGTAGCAGACATTTACAAAGGCTTTGCTTGTATGCACAGACACACATGCCTGAGCCTATTTATGTGTGCAGATGATGTAAAGCTCCTAAGAAAACTGTGTTTATAAAAAATGGCTGTTGTAAGCATAAGCACTCAAAACGACCCCCAAAGTCTTAACAATTCCAATGATTTTGTGAAAATATATGCTATGTAAAGCCAATCAGTCTCTTGGGTTATAAAATAAAACTAATTTTTATAAAGAACAATTTTTTCTACAAATTATACGAGTACTTTCTTCCAGTTGTAAAATTTTATATGGCTAAAAAAAATCATCCCTACATTTTTTATAGCCTATGCTTATTCCTTGGAAAGCTTTTAGAAACATTTCTTACTGTTCACTTGAAAGATACTGAAGTGAAAAATTGAAGCTTATAGCAGTTTGTAATTAGTGTCTGCTACTTGGCAGATATGCGTAGCTTCCTTAAGAGTCTTTTAGATATAACTGTGTACAAGAGCCTAAGTATCGGGGGGACACTTCTCTGCTAATAGGTTATTATAAATGAATACCCATGTATTTTCAAAATTTATTATAAAGAAATATGTTGTGATATATTTACATTATTTTGATAACTTTCTATAGGTTAGATATGTTCTCTTGATGAGTAAAGAGAATTTCTATATATCACTTAGTAAAAGAAGAAAATCTACTGCAATCATATAAATAGGGCATAAAGATCCATCAAGGAGGGATGCTGGAGGTAAAATGGGTATTTATTTGATGTGTGATTGGCTCTAAGACTTAAAAAAAAAAAATCTATCAGTTATCAAGGCCATAACATTCTCTGTCAAGGTCATACAGTTATTTAGGGAATGTTAGGACCCTAAAAGGATTTTCCTATTCACATTTGGAAATGAAGATGCCTCTGTATCCAAAGAAATCTTCTTATAATATGTTTGGCACAAAGGTCCTGCATTACATTGTCAAAATACTAAATTATCAAATTGGAATGAGAAACTGTTGTTCTAATAGGTTAACTCTAATGGCTACAGTTAACAATCTCTAAATGGATACGCCTTCTGGGCCAAGATACAATTACACATACAATATCCCAGTAGGTTTGATTTTTATTAATTGTTAGAATGATAGTTTAGTTTCCCAAATATATTTTTTAAATATCCATATTCAGATTCAATTTTTCAAAGGCCAATGCTAATGTTTACTTTATACACCACATTGGGAAAAACATACAATCAAAATATAGTTAATGTTCAATAAACCAGAATTTAAAAACATTAAAAAAAACAAACAGATGGCTAGCTGATGCCACTTCCATTTCTTCAATGGCATTAATTTATTCATAGTTTCATGTACAATTTTTCATAATCATTACTTCTTATATCTATGGGGTAATGTTCAGTCAGGAAACATACCTTTTCTGAGTGTTTGAACTGATGCCAGTAACTGTCATACATGCGCTTGGTAGTTCTCTCAGGGTAGCAGGTTACTGTCTTAATGTAAACCTTCAGGCTTCGTTCAAGTAATTGATTAACTTCTCCATAATCATAGTCATCATACCTAGGAGCAATATGACAACAGCTTCATAAGGACAGAATCAAAATGTCTGATTTCTAAAGAGACATTTATTGCCCAGTAATTAAACCCAAGAGCTCATTAATTAGTTCACCGAACAAATATTTATTGAGTGCCTATACGTGCCATGTATTTTCCATGTACTCTTCTAGGCTCGGTGAATAAAGTAGACAAAAATTCCTGGTCTCATGGAATTTAAATTCCACCGGAGAAAAAAGGAAAAATTAAAAAGATAACCATATAATATGTCAGATGGTGATAACTGCTATGGAGAGAAAATGAAACTGGGGGCTGGGAGGAGGGGAGCTGTGATTTTTAGATAGGCTGGGCAGGAAGGCTTCTATGAGAGCTTGACATTTGAGCAAATATCAGGAGAAGGAGAAGGAGCAAGAACAGAGCCCTAAGGTAGGAGTCAAGGGTTTCAAAGAAGGAGTAATCCACTGTGTCCAGTGCTACTGACTCACGTAAGATGATTGCTGGGAACTGACCACTGTCAGTAGCTAGGCAGAGGTCACTGGCAACCTCAGCAAGAACAGTTTTGTGGGCGTGGGAGGAGCAAAAGCTTGACACTGTAGTGGGTTCACGAGATGGGAGATGAGAAAATGGTGAAAGTAAATACAATTTTTTTTCAGGAGATTTGCGGTGCATGGAAGCAGAACAATGAGGCAATAGCCAGAGAGAAAAGCCGGATGAAGAAAGGGTCTTTTTTTAAACATGAAAGAAATAACATCATGGGAGAGAGCCCGTTATATACCGATGGGAAAGATCCTATAGAGTAAAGGTGAGTCTGTAAAAGAGAGAGGGAGATTGCTAGAATAGGGATCTTTAGAAGATGAGAGGAGATGGGACTGTGCCCACTGAGCACAGAAGCATAGACAGCTCGTCCATAATACAAGAGCAGAGCCAGCAGAGTAAATGGGCACAGAGGCCGAGAGGAGGGTAAATGTGGTGGTGGGAGCTAGCGGATTTCCGTTCTCTATTTTCAGTTAATTTTTAACCCAAACATAACACTTAGTTAAAAAACAATACCTCAGGGATTTTATGTAAGTTTTATTTAGTAGACTCCCACTGACAAATATAATCACAATAACATCTGTTATTTATTGTATTGACTATAATAAATATTTATTGCAATTGCGTTAAATACTATTGGTGTTTGTTTTTTTTTAAATAGGTAGGTATAATATCTATGTTTTAAAATGTGGTGCTTCTGTGCTAACATTGTCTAGGATGGTAAATGGGTAAAAAGCATAGTTATTGTTTACCATCATAATTGTGTCTTCTAGGTAGAATGTTTCATTATTAGTTGATTTTTCAGGAAATTTTTGTTTTTCTTGGCTAAAATTATAGAAACTGCTTTGCTTAACAATTAAATTCTAATTCCATTCCACAAGGCTTTCTGAAACTATATCAGAAAGGATATAGAATGGTGTCAAACTGAATGTATTATAACTGGGAATTTTCTCTTTCTGCACATCTGTCTCCATAAAAGCTTTCAAAAACCAGCTTGAAAAGGCACATTCTCCGAAAAAAATTTTCTGGATTAGACCATTCAGTCTCATTCACTCATTTACTCACTGTCCTCTCAATGCTTAGTTTTTAAATTTAGAGGCTATTAATTTATATTGACTGATAGTATTGTTTCAGCGTTCTCATGTGACCTTATGTAAGCTTCATGAGGGCGGAATCTATCTTAGTTTTATTTGTACCCTAATTACCATTCCGTCAAAAATAAATAGATAGATAAATGACAAACTAAACAAGCTAGCATTTGTTACAGTGATCTAAAGAAACACAATCCATGGTTTTTAACTGCCTAACTCTTCTAGGAAGGATTCTCAAACAGTCTGATTTTATCCTATCCCCAACGATTACTGATATTTTCCCCCTCATTAGTCAATTGTTACTACTGTATTTATATATGCATGTTAAGAATCACAACAGTTAACCACAGAAAAATGCTTTTCTATAAAATGGAATTAATTTTTTAAAATCAGGAGTCCACATGTCACATTTGCTCCCCAGAACTGTATGCTTCTAAACAGGACAGAAGTAAGACTCATGTCAGAATGTTCGTTTAGAAATTTTGAAACTGGGGCCGGCCGAGTGGCTCAGTTGGTTAAGAGCATGAGCTCTGAGCAACAGGGTTGCCAGTTCGATTCCCACATGGGCCAGAGAGCTGTGCCTGAGCTGAGCTGCCAACAGGTGGCAGGATGGCTCAGCTAATGAGAGCATGTGCTCCTAACAACAAGGTTTCTGGTTCGACTCCCGCATGGGATGGAGGGCTACGCTCCCTGCACTAAGATTGAACACAGCACCTTGAGCTGAGCAGCCATGAGCTGCCGATGGGCAGCCGGATGGCAACTGGACTTGGAGCTGAGCTAACTGCACGCTCCACAACTGAGATTGAAGGACAACAATTTGGCTGTTCCCCTTCCCCAATTCTCCAATAAAATCTTTAAAAAAAGAGAGAAATAAATGTATGAAACTGTCTCCACACTGAACATACCTGATTCCAAACATACAGTGAACGTAGTTAAATAAAGCTCTGCGCAGCATGGTTGTGTCCACGTCCTCGTGGGTGGCCATAGTGTTATAGGTGAGACTGTATACCATGCGAAACTTTTCATCCAGAAGGTGTCCAATGTCAGAATAAAGTCTGTTCACCAGGGAGAACCCATGGTTTTCCCAGGTATAGTCCTAAAAGAATAAAATGTATCCAATTACAAAATGGGCATTCCTTATTGAAATAAACTCTAGTTTTTTATTAAATCTAACCACTTAAGCAAGTAAGTGAAGATATTTCAAATGTAATTTTAAGTTTGTAGCTTTACTAAGAAGCCTTCACATCAGTCTGTAGATTGGAATGTCATGTTGTTTCCTCAGTGGAGTCCAGGGTTTGGCATGTTGGTGATAAACTGGTTACTTCCTGTGGTCAAGTACTACGCAAACGGTGCCTTATCTGGAAGGACCCCAGAAGATATTGGACTACTCCTATGTGACCAAACCTGCTCAGTGACATGGACAGTTAGCAGATTACCTGAAACAGGTACAAATGGGTCTGGTCTTAATTCAAAATGACGCTCTCTTTAGGCGCCACATCATTACTCCTGTGGCTATGTTTTTCTAAGGAGGGGAAGGAGCAGCCCTTAAGCCCGTAACTACTGGTTTATGATTTTAGGACAAAAAGCCTTTTTATTGTAAATGTTACATATTACTTGATTTCTTCCCTGCTCCTCTCCAAAAAATGGTATGAACATTATACAATTACCATGTAATAATGCAAGTAATTGAATAAGGCTGTTTCCTTTTGCCTTCTTAGTGGGGAAAATGTTGAAATAATAATCCATCTATTGGGACATCAAATTAGACTAGGCCAAAAACTAGATTAAATAAAAGGATTTACGGACTCGATCAAAATGACCTATTAATTTCTTTAGAAGTCCATTTATTTACATTACAATATTTCACAATTAAAACGACAATATTTATTCTCTAGTTTCTCTGAAGTAAAGACATCTCATACCTGAGCTCGGAATGTTGGCAAATGCTCTTCTCCTCGTCTGGCAAAGTCTTCATACCCAAAACCAGGGTCTTCAATGTATCGGGAGACATCAGATGTTATAATCATGTCATCCTCAAAATCTAAGAACAATAATGAACAATCTAGTGTTAAGGAAATTGTACATAGTTAGGACAATGAAACAAATCCATTTCCCCCCACTCTTTAGCTTTTCCATGAATTTCCTAAGTTATAATACTGACTACATGGCTAAAATTTAGATAAAATATTAACTGCCGAAGTTTTGAAAACAATTTCATCACTAAATACTGGCAATCTTAACATTTAACTGGAGTTGCTCAGGCAAAAAAAAAAAAAACCAGACTAAGTTGAAATATCTAAATAGGAGTAGCAAAGATCAGTACACTAGTTTTACTTATTTAGAAAAGGAAGATAGCACAGGCCTTTAAGTATACAGCTTAAACTTTTGATCTTTCTGGGGATGAAGTGAGATGTGGGGAAAGAGAAGAGATGAAGGTAAAGACCACTTTAATTGAGTTTACTATTAAGATAGATTTTGTAAATTAGATGGTGTTTCATCTGGACGTACTCATGGTGAAAATTAATTCATTTTTAGCTTCCTAAGAAGCACTAGGGAGAAGGACTGGGGAAAAAAACACAGCAGGGAGGAAAGTGGACTTTTGGGTGCCATTGCTATTCTTAGTGGACTTGAGTGTTAGTTAAACAGGAAGGTTCCTGTTTTTTGTGTGAAAATTCATTAACTTTTACACCTAAGATATGTGTGCTTGTCTGTGTACGTGAAAATAAAAAGCTATACAACAAATGGAATAAACAATGTGCTAATGAGACAATGATTGGATTATTATCAAAGTGGCATTCAGGAATACAAGAAGGCTACAGTATCTTAAAGCAGCAGTTTTCTACATACTTGATAATATTAAAAATTCACCACTGAAAAATTGTGAATGCCCAATGCATGCTAATTTGATGTAAAGTTGATTCTCTTTTAACTCACTTTTTTTAAGTTAGTCTCTATAATTACTTTTTTTTTATTTCAACCACTAAAAGGGAAGGAACAACCTTTATTTACTACCTTCTACTCTTGAAAAGAACACATAATTTTCAAAATAAACAAAAAGACTAGCTTCTTCCATGCAAAGAACAATATTTCCATAGCATTTTAATGAATATGAAATACATTAAATATTTAATAAGTAATAAATAATAGAACAATTTTATGGCATATTAAAAAAACTATAATTCTTAACTGGCATTGTTGAGTACTTACTATACACCAGGTACTGTGCTATGTACTTACTATCTAGTATATCTTTGTTTCATTAACACAAAAGAAGTATCTACTTAAGAAATAAGTAAACAAACTGTAAGTTACTAAGACCATTGTCAATACTAAGTGCCAGTAAGAAAAACAATGTGGATTAGTTTAAGGTGATGTGGAAAACTTGTAAACATTAAGCTACTGAAATTGAGTTGAAGCTCTGAAGTAACTTTCAGTTCTTTGAAGAGCAATCTCAGGCTATCCCTCGCCCATCCCACAGCCACTATGTTGTCTCCTTGTGCTCCAGCACTCTTCTGGTAAACAGAAATGCTTTATAAATGGTGTTTGCAACACATTATCTCTTAACATTTACTCTCTTAACATTTACCAATGAGGTTGTGTTTTCCTTCATTCAGTCCATCACATAATAATCAAGAGAAATGAAGCAAAAAATGTAAAACATAGTAGCGATCGCTGTGGCTGTTGTGAAAGTTACATGTTTTGTGAGTTGCAAAGTAAAACTAAACCAAGAACAGTGAGTGATAACTAAACTCTGTAAAACAGTTTCTCTCTTGAAGTGATCTTTCCCTCCTCACTGTACAACCAGGTGGTTTCATTTGCCAAATATCGATACTGGAGTTGACTATGATATAGCTAGTTCCTTTGACTTTGATGTTAGTTTTTGTTTTGTTCATATATATTTTCAAGTTGTCACATGACTTTTAAACATTTTTAAATTAAATAATAAAGAGTAACTAAGCAAATAAGGTAAAACTTATCCTACTAATAGTATCCATCTATTCATTTTTAAATTAGGAGTCAATCAAAACCTGTTTTCTAGACAATTTTGTCCCTAGAAAGAAATGTACAAAAATCTCTTATACCACAAATATTTTTTCCCTAAACTTATCTTAAGAAGTTAGAGTTTAAAAAAAAAGTTAAAATTAGTACTCTGATCAACAAATCTAAAACTCTCATTTTAATTCTACCTAAACAAATATTTCAAAGTCTGGACTTAAAGGAAATAGTATTTTGTACATTATCTGCATTCTTCTGTCCCTAAGAGGTGGCTACTAACATAATACAGAAAATGTTATGTTACAGTAATAGAACACCTTTCTACCTTGAAGAACAAAATACAATAAAAGCTAGTTAACCACTACACTACACCAAGCTACAGAATACCACCCCTATAGAATATTTTAAACATTTGTTTTCTTCAAAGGCTGGAAAAACTATTTCTAGAATCGCTACATGTTATCTGGAGTGCTTTATCACACTGGTCAAACCAATACATTTTTTTATAGGAAAAATCTAGTTTCTATTTTAAAACATGGCAAGTCTATAAAAATGACTCACTTAGCCACTATACAGAGTCATTTTTCTATGTTATCTTTGTGTGACCAGTAAACTTAGTACTGGGAATGTTTAAGAGTAAGTAATGAAATGATTTATTTCCTTGAATGATTTATAAATGATACAGCCTCTCCTATTAAAATTGCAACATAATTTTTGGCTCGGGTCAAAGACTTGCTTGTCAAAATTCACTTTAGAAGACAGCAGTCCCTGCTCAAGGGTCCAAGAAGGTAGAGACTGGGATCCAAAATATATTTTCATTATTAAAATATAATCTAAAAGAAATAAAACAGTTATATCCTTCAAGTTCTAGTGATCTTAAAGAAGCTCCTAAAAAGTAATGTCTAAAAGCAAATAGATAATATTAAACTTAATACGTGTGTCTACATTTTAAAATATTGGTTTACCTAGAAGGTTCACCTTAAGCTCATTAGTTTTCTTTGTCCCATTTGTTCTCCCTGGATGTTTTTTTAATCAACTCTTTTGATTTTAACTCCTAATTATATGCCTGATAACTTTCAAAACTTTATCTTGCACGTAAAGCCCTCTCTTGATCTTCGGGCTCTCTGCTAAACCCTTGATACTCCAAGTGTGGTTTGCAGACTAGCAGCATTCGTATCACTTGGAGGAACGCCAGCAATGGGGCCTCTCGGGTCGTAGCCCAGACTGGCTGAATCAGAATCTGGATTTCAACCACATTCCCCGGTGACTCACATGCACAGGAAAGTTTGAGAAGCACTGTGCTCGACATCTCCAGACTGGGTGTTTTACAGACAACTTAGCTCAAAATGTCCAAACTACGGCAGGTTACATGTTCCTTAAGGTTAGAAAGAACATCATGAGGAGGCCTCTGTAAATCTAACCAGCTACCTCTCGTCACATTTCTAACAACACAGGGCCACTTGTTGCTGCAGCAAGCATCCTATTTCCTACCATCGTTCGTGCCTTGGCTCAGGCTTGGATGCTGTTTACCACACGCTGTTACTACCAAGTCTGCTGTCCCCCAGCCATTGCCTGATTCCTTTGCAGTCAAGATTCTAAGACAGCTTAGAGCCAAACGGCTGGAGGGAGGCATCCTCTAGGACCCTTTTTGTCCACACTCCTCCCCCACCAAGACTGGGTTCTGGGTCCTCTTCTAGGCTCATTCATATACCTTTCACATTCTGCTACATACTGTAATCATTTCTTTCTCTCCCACCAGCAATGAGAGCTCCCAGAGGGCAGTCTAAGCCTGAAAATCGCAGTACCTACCACAGTGCTGAGACTACTGCGGTACTCAGTATATGTCTGTAGAATATCGCGGTACTCAATATACGTCTGTAGAATGAATATTAAACCAGCAACTACAACACTAAGTTTCCTTATTTGGGAGTTCCTGTTGGTTAGAAGCTCTGAGAAACTGTTACTTATATACTCAATTTGGTACACAAAATCTTTCATAAAAAAAGATCATCAGGGGAAATGATAAAAGGGGTTCTTGTTTTTTCCTGGTAAAACTTCTGAGAGCTATTGGTCAATACTATGTTTAAAGTTAATAAACAAGTTATGGCCAAATCAATTACCCTCGGAATTTATGAGACTAATCAGTCTTAAGGCTAGTCATTTTGAAGCCCTCTTTTAAGGGTTTAAACTTTCTGTTGAGTTTATGCTATTTTAATAACATTTATTATGTGGTATTCAATGTCTTTTTTAGTCTTAATTGAAAAGCTTACCTCCTGTTTCAAAGTCTCTTAGAGTAGTAAAAAAATGTGTTTTTAATTAAGACTAGAGCAAAGAAGCCTAGCTTTTAATACAGAATAAATTCCTCCAAATTCAAGCTAAGAAAATGACCCAAATAATACATTTTTATAAAATTCCAAAGATTTCTCCAAAGAAATGCAAATATAAGTGCAATGTAATTTTAGAACTAATCTGGAAAAGCAGCAATGTGAGAACAATCCTCCTACACGTTCCCCACCCACAGAAAAGGCAAAGATATTTTTTAAAAATTGTATCTATTGAAACGAGATTTTACTTATCATCAAAAAACCCACAAAACTGGAATACATTAAATATTCCTATCTAACTTTATAAGCAACTGGTCTGCTTTGAATAGCATTTTATCCAGGATAGAGGATGGACTACAAAGCTGGAAGTTCCTCTAAACTGGATCCAAAATATAGTCAAGGATGCACCAACCTAAGAGAGGAATCTATAGCATCAGGTATACCATCTACAAGGCAACGAAGGAGAAATAAAGAGGAGGTGGTAATGGAATCAGTTTTTACATATCCACGTGGAAAATACTGAGGGTGGTGCACTGTTAGGGTTCCAAGAACAGCTAAAAGGCAAAAACAGCGAAAGAAAAAAAAAAAAGGCACCTGAATGAGGAAATGAATGAAAAGTATCTCCAGAGACTACGAACAGACTTTCTTTCTTCTCCTTCTCAAAACGAGTGGTCATTTCTTCCTGAGACGCATCTTCATCTTCCCTTTCTTCATGAAGCCTTTTCATTCTTTCCATTAAGGCCTCTAGCTCACTTAGAGAATCTACAATCTGGAGCCAAATAATATAATGCTGATGTTATTAATATTAAAAATCATTTGAGTAAACGTCTCCATCCCCCAATTTCACCTTATTATGTACACATAATAGCATGCGCACAGTTCCTAAGTTCCTAAGTGGGCTGTTGACTAACTCCAAAGAAATTCATATGACGTTTTCAGAAGTATGATGTTTTCGCTTCAGCTATAAACATAGAAAGTTTATAAGTATAGAAATATTTAATCTAGAATTCTAGTATTTGGTATGTATTAAATTATGTTATGGTTTATTTTAAAAAATGAAGCAGCTTCAAATTTTCTACTTTTTACTGTTGTAAGATATGTACATTTTTTGGTTGTTCCAGCGTCTTACAGACACAAATATATTGTTCTGGGCTCTGCTGTCCAAAGGGTCTAACATTGAAAAGCCTATGATCACTAGAATGCATCATTGTTTTAGTCCTAGGATTTGTAATAACATCTATCTGCTTTAAAAGCCTCTTTAAGATAATTCAGAACTTCAGATTCAGGCTAAATTTTTACAGTAACAAAAATGATGCAAAAATATTTCAAGTATATAATATCTTATTTAATTGGAGAATAAATTCTCTCTGGGTATTTTTAATGTTAAGGAAGTTTAAAGGCAAAACAGGTAAGAAAGTTAAGAAAACTGACCCCAAAGCTGTTGCCTGTAAGAGATGCATTTTCTATGTTGTTGTCATTAGCAAGGTCACAAACGCAGAAATTGTTGACTGATATTAGCCTGAATCCATTGGAGATTTCTGGACCTCTCTCTGGATTGATGCCACTGCCAAAGACAAAGCTTGCCAAAGCGTGATAATGTGCCAGCAGGACCACAGCATGTACCAGTTCAGGCAGAGACCAATTATTTTCTCCAGTTTTGACAAGTTTCTGAAATAAGAAAGCAAATCAGAGTGAAAATGAAAATCACAGAATGCTACGAAGCAATTTTAGAAAGCACGGAACATCTACCAAATTTCCTATAACCGTTTATAGTAAAAAAACTTAAAACTCTTTTAAAAATGTTTCACATATTAAAGATATGGCTTTGGTCAAACAATGTTACACTGAAACTGTTAAACCTAACAATATGATTTTGTTTCCTCTAAATTCTACACACACACACACACACACACACACACACACACACACACACACACACACTGGAACTTCTGCTTTCAAAGCACTTTTACATATTATTATTTAAATAAGGTATTTCAGAGAATCAAAGAACATTAAAGCTAGAAGGGATTTTAAAGATTACCTACCTAGGGCTGGCCGAGTGGCGCGATCATTAAGAACTGGCTTGGGACACCAGAGGACCCCGGTTCGGATCCCACATATGAGGGCCAGTGACACTGCCCTCCACAGCTAAGAGGCTGAACAACAGCTCAACCTGGAGCTGGGCTGCCGTGAGTCGCCGGCGACAGCGTAGGCTGCAGCCCCTGTGGCAGTGGGTT